ACGTCGACATATGTGCGGGATGTGGGTGCACTTGCATGGCTTCGTGTGGTGTGGTGTGCCCTCAGGTCGGTGCTGGCGAGGCGAGTGGCGTAGAAGGAGAGGCAAGCGACACATCTGACGCACCTCACTCGGTAGGTTCTCGAAGAGGAGAGAGAGCATCAGTGGCGCCGGGCAATCTGATGCACATGTGTGTGTGCAGGCCCATGCTGCTGTGAGGGCGGATGGCTCCTCGGTGCCCTCTTTCCTTGCCGCTACTGCTAGTGCTGTGTCTGCTGCTGGTGGCCGGGGTATGAGACGACAGAGGGATGACACGGCGACCCATAAGATGCACCAAGAGCCGTCTGTGTGTGTGTGTGCAGGTGGTGTGTCGGGGGACCTTGGGCAAGGAGGAGAGAGCAAAGGCCAGCAACAGCTTCAGGAGGTCAGTGTGTGAAATGCACTGACAGACATGGCTCTCGGGATTCATTGCTCTCACTCCCCTTGTCTGTCTGTGTGTCTGTCTGTCTGTCTGTCTGTCTGTCAGGGTGTCGGCGGTCTGACGAGTGAGCCGCTGTGCGAGTGGACGACGTCATGCCCCTTCTTCACCACTAAGATGACCTCAGTGCTGCCTCGCGAGGTCGAGAAGGGGCCGGCGGAGATGACAGAGGGCAACCACCACAACAAGATCATCGCGCCACGTGCTCTCAACAAGAGCGGCAGCCACAGCAGAGGCCGGTCGTCTTTCGTGTCGCCTCGAGTGGTGTCCCGGTCGCCGCATGATGACACATCACCCTCTGGCCAGCACACGTCTGATGGACAGGTGAGGCAAACCCAACCCAACAGGAACCCCTTGCTGGCGCCATGCAGTCCATATCTTTCTGTCCGCCCAGGAGCATCCCGTCAGCTACTTGTTCGTTGGCAGCCGAGGCCATCTGCCCGACATCGTCACGGTTGCCCGCCTGAGGGCCACATCGCGGCGCATCCGGGCTGCCTTCACCATAGCTGAGCTGCGCACCCGCCTCGCCAACTCACTGAGCCGTGACGGAGATGGCATCAACACTCAGCATCTGCAGCTGGTGCAGTTCGACCCATCTCTGGGGATGGGTGAGCTCATGGCGGCGGTGTGGATAGCCGAGGAGGGCGGGCGGTGGGAAGAGATGCGAGAGGTGCTGCAGTGGGCCAGCCAGTGCCGCTACTGCACGCTGCCCCTCAACCTCACGACAGATGACATCAACACACACGCCAACAAGGCGGTAAGGCACGCACACACACAGGGGCGGGAGAACAGGGAGGCCTCAGTCATTCCTCTCTCTCTCTCTCTCTCTCTGTCTGTGTGGTGTCGTGTAGGCGTATGGATCGGTAGCTCGTGTGTTGGCGCAGTTCATGATGGTCGGCCGCCACGTGGACTTCGGCAAGAGCAGCCGCCTCCAGATCTTCCGCCATGGGAATGGTGAGGTGCGGGCCATCAAGGACACGCCCGGCTTCCGGCTGGATGTCAACCCGCCCCTCCCCGGTGCCGGCCATCTGTATGAGCGGCACCGACTGGAGCACGACCCGCCAGTGCACAGCGAGATCTTCTACTCGGGCAGATAGTTGTCGATCCTCCCGACCACCGATGCGTCGCTATCGTCGTTCGCCAAGAGCATGGTCATCGTCCACTTCAACGGGACTCACCAGACCAATAGCACATTCATATCGCCCAACAGGTACCACATCAATGGCACCAGTTGCAAAAGGGGTGCGTCTGTGTTTGTGTTTGTGTGTCTGGTTGGTTCAGGCGTGTTGGTGGCGGCCGTCTGGATGGCCTCCTCACCCAGTCGCCCCACACACCCGTGGCCGGGTGCACCACCACAATGAGCTGTGACGGTGACATACGGGATCTGGTGCTGACCAACAGCAGCCACAACTTCGTCGCGTGGATGAACGTGAAGGGTTGTGGCAACGGCATCGGTAAGTATGACAGGAAGGCAGCTCTGGTGGTCACATATCACCAGTGCTGTCTGTGTGTGACTGTCTGCAGTGTGCGTCAGTGTTCTGACGACCGAGGCGCCCGTGCGTGTGAGGGGTGCCTTTAAGGACCGCTTCCTCTTGACCACTCAGCTGGCCCGTGTGGCGTTGAGGCGGGTGGCGCCATACGTCTTCGACGGCCAAGTAGACGATAACAGCTACGATGATGACGGTGTGGACAGGGAGGGAGGGACACACACACATGGTGGCCATGGATGGACGGATGGCGTCTCTTCTCTCTCTCTCTCTCTGTGTGTGTGTGTGTGTGTTGTGTGTGTGTGTGTGTGTGTGTGTGTGGTGTAGATTCCGACGGCCATGGCGGTGGTTGGGATGATCTGGATGACGACATCAACGGAGAGGACAGCGGAGGTACACAGGAAAGAAGACACACCACACATGTCCTGACGTCTATGCGCGACATCCAGGTGTGCACGTGTGTCTTCATGACAGGTGACAGTGCATCGGCTGACGAGGAGAACGGCGCCTGAAATCACTCGACCCATTTAATACCGGCACCACAGGTGTTCGATTCTTCTGTGAGGATGAGGCTCTGCTGGTGGGGCAGCGACGTGAGTGTGTGGGGGGGATGGGAGTGTGTGTGTTCGCGGAGCCTGATTCTCTCTGAGTGGTGCTGAGGAGACCTCCACGGTGGGTGTAATAAACGAACGTATCAAGTGTGACCAACGACGGCGCTGTGTCATCGGACAGACAGACAGACAGACAGGTATCTCCCTCTCAGTGTGCTCCATCCTTCCAAGACACACCATGTCGCCCATTGTACTCTGTGCTGTCTTCACTGTGTTTGCGTGACTTGCCAGACCTCCGCCGTGCTGACCGCACTGCATGGCGCTATGCATACGAGCCGATACTTGACGCCACCGCACTCACACACACCTCAGCCGAGTGTGCTGATGGCGAAGGGGACGCATTGCCTTCGTCTTTTTGCCTTTCTTGCCGGTCACGGCGGCCGTCAAGAGGCCGCCCAGCCCCCCGGGCAGCCCAACAGGCCCTCGGCAGCGGCCGCAGAAGCCGATCGAGTGAGGATCGAACGGCTGATTTTCTCAACAGTGGCAAATTCGTTTTCTGATTTTATCGGCTGAGGGGGTCCTCTGTGCAATGGCACACACACATCCCTCGAGAAAACTCGCGAACGAAGCGAAAAAAGCCGAACGGCCCGCAATTTCAAGCTCGCAAAATGAGACCGATGGGGGAATTTCGACGCATTCTGGATCGTTGAGAGCCTCACGGAAGCAGCGGCAATGAGCCTCGTCCGCTGTGGATGAGCCAACCGCCCTCAAGCTGCTCCACCGACCCTCGCGGCCTGTGCTCGTGTTGCTGAAAGCACCGGCTCGTGGAGAAGCTCAGCAGGGCAGCAGACATCGCAATCCCGGTGCCATTGATTGCCAAGTGCTCCAAATTTGGTAGCTTGGAAGCTGAGCTGGCTCCTGAGCGGTTGAGCGCACAAGAGAGTCCTTGGCACATCCGTCAGTGCATTTCGCATCTCAGCTGTGTGTGTGCCGTTGTGCAGGTCCCATTAGCATGACGGACGCATCGGTGGCCGCTGCAGGTGGGCAGCAGGCAGGCAAAACATGCACAGTGACATGACGGAAGGCTTCTGTGTTGTGCTGAAGGCCTCACACACACACATCCTGGCTCATCGACTGTCTGTCTGTAGGGCTGAGTGCCCAACCTGAAGTGGCACTGGTGGAGCCTGCTAGAGATTCCGCCATTGCCCGCCTTGGGCGGGGCCTGACCCCCTTTACCACCACGAAGGCCTTCGCCGGCAGCCCGGCGTGGGCGGTCGCCTGTCAAGAGGCGATGATTGACGCTGCCTGCGCGTGAGTGCATCTGCACGGGAATTCAGGGACACTGGCACGTCACGAATCTCGCCTCAATCTCTCTCTGTCTGTCGTGTTTGTGCGTGCAGCGGGAGGGTGCCGGTGAAAGACCCACTCCAGCAGCACCGGCGCCTGCCAGAGAAGACGCTCGAGTGCCTGAAGGAACGGGTGCTGGCCGACATGAAGCCCGGCAGCCGCTTCCCCACCCGCGAGGAGATCAAGAAGCTCAAGGGAGGACCGAAACCCAAAGTGCGCGAATCGATGGATGAAGGAGACGCGCCCATCGGATGACTGTTGTTCTCTCTTATTGAATTGCTCCCTCAGATCCTCGAGGGGAAGGTGGAACTGATCCACAAGAAGCGGCTGGGCCATCACCCCGATGTCCAGCTGCCCGACGGTTCCTATCCCCGCTTCGAGTTGTGGCACGTAAGCCAGCCACCCACCCACCCAGAAAGACTGTCCACACACACATCCTGGCTCATCGATTGTCCGTCTGTCTGTCTGTCTGTAGGGCCGCGTCGACCTCTTGCAGTGGCACGGGTGGACCCCTGTCGAGATCCCCCTCTCCGAGCCGTGGACCTGGGTCGACCGGCCCGTCCCCTCCCCCTCCTTCTCCCACTAAGCGCCCCAGCCCCCACCCGCCATGCCCACCACGCCCCCCACCCCCGCCACGGGCGGTGCATCGCAGACCTCTTCTGCACCCTGGGACCGAAAGCAGACGTGCTCCACCGAATGGGTCGTGTACTTGGCTGTGCAGATGGGCGTGTGGTTTCCTTTTGGCAAATTGGGCTGCATGGATTGGAACGATGTGTCCATGGGTGACCGAACGATGTGTGGATACGAAAGATGCAGCTCTCAACCCGACTGCATGTCATGCTCACCAAATCCGCACGTGCTCACTCCGGTCTAATTGGCGTCAGGCCTGCCTACTCAACTTGCCTGACCTGAATCTACACGCACTCATTCATGCACACACGACACACCATAAACTCATCTGACAAATAGCATCTCGACACGTAATTCCAGCCGTCCCCACATGCAGTGCGATCGCATGGTGGTCAGAATAGCTCTGCGACGATGAGCACCACGGTGGCTGTCCAGCCTGTGAACGGCGCCGCACCCAAACCTCGCCCACTCCGCTCGTGGTAGCTCTCATACATGTAGCCCTGCACACACGCATAGGGACGCACAGAGAGAGAGGAGATACCGAGGCCTGCAAGGTCATTCCAGAAAGTGCATTACCTGTTTTTCGTATGCGGTCATGATGGTTGCAACGAGACGCTCGCGAAGCTCCCAATACAGCCTGCATGCGCCCAAGACAATCCCATGGTTAGATCGACAGGCACTGCACGTGCGTATATATTCCCGTCCCTCTCACCTGTCCATCGAGGCCCTGAGCGGCCCCGGCAGCGTCACATCGCCACTGCCGCCCTCCTCCCTGTCTAGCAGATAGTACTTTTTGATGGCCCTCAGCGCCAGGAAGTTGATGTTGATCCACACGTTGCTGCGCCAGTAGTTCTCCCCGCTCCCAAACAGTACATCGCTCTTGGAGAGGCTCCGCAGCCCCGCCCTCGACCACAGACGATCCTCACTCAGCATCACGTCATCCACTATGGCCGGCAGCTGCTTCCCCAGCCATGTGGAAGACGAGCCGGCAGGTGTTTGGTCGGCGAGTATGCCGAAGAGGAAGGGGAAGAGGGAGACCACACCGATGTGTGGCGACGTGGCAGCTTTGGTGGGCATCTTGGGTCGCTTCTCGAGGGGCAGAGAGATGGTACATCCTTCACACTGGCAGTGCTGCGGTGAGCTGCCGCACCACCCGGATGGCGAGCAACAGGGGGAGGGGCTGTACGGGTCACACTCACCTACACGCACATGCAGACACAGACAGAGGTGCGCACGCAGATATCAAGCCACGCTCGCAGTTTCAGTTTCCCTACCAGGTTTGCCGTTGTCCTGTTTGAACTCCTCTCCACATCTCCCATCAGTCCGCCATGGCGGCACCAGCATGAGGGCGCCGGTGCGTGTGGTGGGCTGCTCGCCCATGTAGTCTGCCAGCAGCCCCGTCGAGGGGTCGTATAGCTTGGTCTTGTCCTTGACGAGGAAGTCACGCAGCTGGGTCACCTCCTTGCTCCACTGCGAGACGTCTTTCTGCGTGAGAGAGGTAGACGGGGAGTGGCTCAGCAGATACCTGACATACACACACATTGGAACAGAGCATAAAGACAGGAGTGCAAGTGATGCTGTGTGTCTTTTCTGACTTGGTGAGCTTGAGCATTGCTGAAGCCATGACGATCATCCACACGTGGAGGTCCAGGTGGCACTCAGTGGTGGTGGGCAGCACCCCCCGTGGGTAGTCGTCGAAACCACTGCCGTATGTGTGTGCGGTGGTGCGCTGGTGCCACCTGTAGCACCCCTTAGTCTTGGACGCCTGGCTTTTCTTGAGGAAGTGGTACCACTGACTCAGCCGGGGGTAGAGGGATGACGCCACGGCAGACAGCAGGGCGGGGTCGATGGCCTGCCTCCATTGCGACTCGCCCGCTGATGGCGTCGAGCAGTCGGCGGCCGAATTGTCGACCAGCGGGTCGTCAGGGGAGGATAGTACGGCACACTTGCCGTTCTCCTGACGCGCACATGGCAAGCCGTGCATGCAGACGTTGGCATGGTCGTGGCGGTGTTTGATTCTGTACCATTGCCGCATCGATGAGGTCCATCAGCGGCAGCACGAGGCTGGGCGGATTCGCTACCTGCACACACAGCAATGGACAATCGAGAGATGTGCTACTGGGCATCATACAACCCCGCCCGTCCCTGACCTCTCTGCTTTGCAGCCGGAACTGCTCGGGCACTCTGGTCAAGGCCTCCTCGCACAGGGCAGGCTCACGGGGGATCCATCCGTCGGTGTCCATGAGCCCCATCCAGTGCACCAGCACGTCGAGGAACACGCGGCTGTCCCACTTGCTGATCACCATACCATGGAAGCCCTCGTCCCACAGAAATGGACGTGGGAAGAACGACCGGCTGGGGACCGCAGAGAAGGCCGTCAGCGTGCGTGGCTTGGCGCCCTTGGCCACGGGGAGAGGGCCGTGGAAGTAGCCGAGGCCGCCGATCAGGTTTGAGAAGGCCGCCTTGGCCACTTTCTCGTAGCTCGTTGGCCAGTCCTCCCCGCCTCCTGTCGGCTTGACAGGGAATATGCGCCGATACTTGTCGTGAAAGGCCGCTGACTTGGCATCAAGCAGTTGGGTGAGGTATTCAGAGGGGGAGGGGGAGAGGAGGGCGTTGACTGTTGCGTCATCCAGTGCCTCCAGCGACGCTCTGGTGAAGAAGTGTGTGTCGATAGTGATGCCGTCTGCAGGTGGCTTGACGAGCAGCTGCAGGAACACCAGCTTGGCAGAGTCATCCGTGGTGTCCTGTAGCACGGCGATCTGGGGTGCAGGGGGTGGGGAAGGGCCGCCTGTGGGTGCGTCAGTCTTGGCCTTGACCTTTTTCCGCTTCAGGTGCTGCGAAAGGTGATGCTCCGCGTTCCACACAGTCTTGACGGCCGGATCGTCCTCATCGTCGAGAGAGAGGGAGTGATAGAACACCTTGATTGCCGTCCCGTCAGCCGCTGACACCTCAACTAGAGACCGAAAGTCTCCAATTCCGCTCTCCTTGTGCGGCACAGATCCCGTCAGGCCGACCCGGAGCTTGCCGCTCTTTGTAAAGCCACTCGCGTCGATGTGCTTCTTGCCGTCTTTGGTCTTGAACGGCGTCACTTGCTCGTCGACGACAACATGGCCGCTCTCATCCTCCACACCGACATACACAAGTAGGCTCACTGCCTTGGTGTCGTCCTCCGCCAGCGGCCTGGCCACGACCCGAGTGTGGAAGATCTCCCCCGGCCTGTCGGCATGCTTAGCAAAGGACGTGTGCAGCAGCACGTGGGACCTGTCATCGACGATCTCCTGATAGCCGTAAGAGGCGCCGTCATGCTCCAGCCATCCGAACTGCCGCACCTTCTCGTCTTGCTTGCAGTCATGGTGGATCTCCAGGCCATCGGGGCGGGACCATGCCAGCCCATGAAGGACGCTGAGAGGGTCTCGTGACCGAGTCCCGAAGTAGACGCCGGGCCGATAAGTGCCCCATTTCATTGTTGCGTTGTATTCGGCCGTGTAGAGGCTGTCAAGGCTGCTGATGCTGATGGCCCCTTCGATGGATAACAGAAGCAGAATCAGGAAGACGCACACGGCCGAAGAGATCCAGTACATATTGCCCAGATTTAGCAAAGCCGGTGATAGAGAATGTCTTCTGCGTCCTTCTTCGTGTTTGTTGAATGAAAAGCCTCCCTCTTCTCACTTGCGAGCTTAGCTTGCGAGCGCAGAGGAGCTGCTTCTAAGCAAGATCTGACGGTGCTACGTTCATCGCGATGTGGCAGAAACTCGACACGCTTTGGTATAGGCGCACGGATCTGTATTCCCTTCATCCGACGGACTGGGCGGCAGATCGGGACAAACTGAGGCTCTCTGTCGTCGCCGCAGCGCCATTCGGAGGACCTATAGGTAACAGACAACACGGAAAGCATCTGTCATGAGTGTCCGCATTTGTCCTGCACCTTCAGCGACTGTGCGCAATGAGAAGATATTCCAGCCTTCCCGAGGCGCGCTGCGCCCGCAGCTGCAGGTCGGCACAAGCACTCTGCAAGATCAGGCAGGCGCAGAGCCGCACACTTCGCCTTTGTGTCTGTCTGTTGATTGCGCAGACCTACACGGCGGCTGGCCGTCGGTTGGGTTCGGCTCAGTGGACGTTCAGGGAGCTCATTGCCATGGAATGGGCCGACGAAGAGGTGACATACAAACACCAGGAATGATGGATGCACAGCGCACACACGAAGGGTGCTGGTCGTCTTCTGCGCGGTCAGGTGTTGGTGTGCGTGTTTGGTGACGGTGTGGTGCGGACCTTCTCGGCGCTGTGCGAACAGATGCACTTCTTCACTGTCGACGAGCGGATCAAGAATGAAGTGAGAACCAACCCACATCTCACCAACAGGATGGCGTGATTGATGCCCTTGATCATCATTTGTCGACATGGTTGTGTGCAGGGCGGCGTGATCCAGGCGTGTGTGTTCGACAATGGTGTGGTGCTGCTGTCGGCCGCCCTCCGCCTCTACGCCAACTTCTCACTCGAGAGGGCCCAGTGCACACGGCTGGCGGACGCCGGCCTTCGCAGCCCTCCCATGAGCATGTGCGTCCTCTTTCCGCCACACCAGTCGGCACGGGCGGCCGCCAACCTCCACGTGAGGACGCCCGATGGCCGCCCGGCGGCCGTGTCACCCTCTCTGTCGTCCACGAGCATGAGTATTGCCGATCTGCGTGTGCTGGTGGCTGCTGAGAGCGGCCAGCTGCTGCTCGTGGACAACAGCCAATCTGTGGACCTCAAGTAAGGCTGGACGGGCTGCACTTGGGTGCAGTTTGCTCGGCATGTATCACCTGTGGGGTCTCCTTGTATATATTGTTAGGTTGGAGGATGGTCCTTTCTGCGCGCTGGCCGTCTCTCGGAGCCACCGACTGGTGGCTTGTCTATCGAGGACAGGGTCAGGAGCAGCACCAGACAATGACAACGCAGCTGGAGGGGGAGGATACGGGTGTGTGTTGCGTATGTGTGTCAGCATCTTCAAGGTGTTGTCGTCGCACAACTTGACGAGGCCGCTGGACGTCGCCACTCTGGATGTGCGCAAGAAGCCCAAACAAATGGTAGGGTAACAGAGAATGAACGCTCCAGAAGATCAACAGCCAGCCCCGTTTGCTGTCTGTGTGTCAGGTGTGGTGCGGCGACGACTGTATAGCCCTCCACCTCGTCACACCCACACCCTCGGGCGGCTCACAAGTACACCGGAACACACGATGCACCCGCAATGGTCGGTGCAGGCAATGCACTGGTGGCTCTTTCTGTCAGCACATGGTGTTCCTGGGTGGTCCCAAGAACGACTGGCTGCCTTATGCCTACGACACGTCTGTGTGCCTCGTCAGCGAACTCGACGGCGTCCGCATCCTCACAGCCGACAAGAGCGAGATGCTCCACCGAGTGCACCCTTCCACGGAAGCCATATTCAGGCAAGGATGACACGTACGAGGCAGTCCACCCACAGACACGGTGCTCCTTTCTATGCCTGTGTGTGCATGACCTGTTCAGCATTGGGAGCTGCGAGGCGCCGGCCATGTTGACGTATGCTCTGGAGAAGTACGAGGCCGGCGACGTGGCCGCAGACGAGTCCCTTAGGGCCATCAAGGAGGAACTCGGCGAGGCGACCACCGCGTGCATTGAGGCCGCAGCACATGAACCAAACCCTGAACAGATCAGACAGCTGCTTAGGTGCGCAACCACGTGACGTATCTAGATCTTGATTCACTTTTTAGATCCCTTGTTGCCGGTGGTGCGTGTCATCAGGGCGGCGGTGTTCGGTCGTCATTTCCTGGACACCCCCCCCGACCCAGTGCCCTTTGTCGAGGCGTGCCGCAACATCAGGGTGTGTCTGGCCGTCAGGGGACCGCCATACGAGATACCCATCACAGTGGCACAGCTGCAGAAACTCGGAATCGCCAACCTCATCGACAGACTCGCCAAGTGAGCAGAAAACAGCGCTGGCAGACGCAGCAAAGCGTGCTATGTTTCTGTGTGTGCAGGCGGCGTTATCACCTGTTGGCGTATCGTCTGTGTGAGTACGTCGGTCTGCCGGCGTCCAAGGTGTTGCTGCACTGGGCGACCGAGAAGATCCGGCACACTCTGGAGCTGACGGACGACCAGCTGTGTAAGGAAATCGTCAGGCGCTTCCACGGATGCCCCAACATCTCGTACTCGGCGGTCAGCAGAGATCGTTTCTCGTTTCAAACACACAGACATTGTCTGCCTGCCTGTCCGTTGCTCACAGGTGGCGAGTGTGGCCGCAAATGCAGCCCGTCCAAACCTGGCATGTATGCTGCTCGAGCATGAAATCAAGAGCCAAGTGAGACAAGAACCGGAAGACCCACATACAGACGGCAACCTGTCTATCTCCATCTGTCCATCAGGCTCAGGTGCGCATGTTGCTGAAGCTGGCCGAGACGCGGCTCGCGACTGACAAGGCGGTGGCGAGTGGCGACCCCGACCTGATCCTCGAGTGTCTGGCGGCCCTGACCAGCGGATGGATGAGACCCACACCTATTCCCACACACCCACCGCTCACACACACCGCAGCACAGGCACCTGGGTCGACAACACGGCGCAGAGATGACGCGTAGGGAACAAAAAAGAAACGCGAGAGCGACACGGCGCCATGTAAATGTGTCCCCGCGTCTCTGTTTGTCAGTATGGACAGTGGTCTTGGCGCTTTGCTGGAGGCCATCAAGGACCGGCCAGCGGCTGCCGACCTCTTTGTCGCCATGTGCAAGCGGACGCAGAAATGGGAAGAGGTACAAAACACACAACACACGACAGGGGCAACCTTCGTGCAAACACAAACCTCCCGTTGTTGTCGTATGTGTTCAGCTGCAGCGTTACTACGACAAGCGCGGCAGCTACATGCAGGGCGGTGTGGTGAGCCTCACCCTGGCCCTGCAGAAGGCCGACTGGGAGCAGCGCAAGCCGTGGCTCACCCTCGCCGCACAGTTCTTCAACCCAGCCACACACTCGTCAGCCAAAGGTGGGCTCGTCAACAACAGAGACCCAACAATCGACGCGTGATGCGTCTTCTGTCTGTGCGCGTATGTGTGCAGGTCCGAGTGAGCATGCGTCCAAGTTTGCCTTTGAGGCGACGATGGACCAGCTGGACCTGCTGGGGCAGCAGCGCGACCTGGAGCTCAAGGCACACACACAGGGGTGGAGGGGAGGGCCGCCCCGGTTCGTGGGGCTGCCCCTGGTGGCCACGCTCAGGCAACTCATACTCAGGTGATGCAACCGACATGCCAAAGACACACACACAGTATTCATCATGCTGTGTTGTTTGTCTACGCAGGGGTGAGATGACTGAGGCCGACCATCTGCGTCAGCACTTCAAGGTGCCAGACAAGCGATACTGGAGGGTCAAGATCGACGCACTCGCCGACAGGTATGTGCTCGGCGATACGATACCAACAAGGATTGCACACATCTCCTGTGTGGTGTCTTCCTTCAGCGGCAACATCGACGAGCTGCTGACCTTCGCCCAGCTGCGCACCTCGCCCATCGGCTATGACCCCTTCATTGCCGCCTGTGTCCGCGTGCGTGCCGTCGATGCGGCTGTGAAGCTCATCCCCCGCCTGCGTGACCCAGAGGCCCAGGCTAAGTGGTTCTCACAGCTGGGTCTGAATGAGGAGGCTGAGGCGGCGCTGAGGAGACCGCCGACCTCACAGCAGCTGGGCGGGGGGTTCCTGCAGACGCTGACAGGTGCGGTGAGGCGGCTGGGTCAGGGGCAGCCGGGCAGTGCAAGTGCCTCGGCGAGTCCCATGATGGAATGAGCGTGAGAAGTGTAGATGTTGTTGTCGGTTAGAGCGCTGGATAGTGTGATGTGCCGTGATTCTGCATTGTTGTCGTGCTGCGTGACAAGACAGACATCTTGATAAGACGAAGCAAGTAACAGTCCATGGCAGACCGTCTGTCAGCACATGGATGTAGATCAACAGACTCAAGAGCAAAAGCGCGATTGGCGTCACTTAGCGTGCAAGAGGGGCTGCTACGGACCTCCGCAGCCAGTCACACGAGTAATGTGTGCGTCGATAGGTCCATTTCGTGAAAGAATGCTTTCAGCCACTTCGCCCGACCAACACAGTCAGCCCCCCTCCCACTACAAACACACCAACCTGTCCCTCACCCCCACATCACCACCGTCCCTCTGTCGATGACGTCACATCACCACCGTGCATCAACCATCCCTGTTGGCCATGTATGACCATCAGGATGCTGACGGCGCATGATGTCTGACCTTCTGGGCGCCGTGCCGGCGGACCCTGAAGATGAAACCACCTCTCCACGAGGGGCCCGCAAAGGTGATGCCGAGGCCGTGCGTGCCGCCAGGAGGGAACCGTCTGCGGCACTCCTCCTCAATCGCCCTTCGCACGGCCTCTCTATCAGCACCCTCCCGAAACCGCGGGAAAACCGTCAGCTCCTGCATGCCCCGCAGCTGGAGCAGTGGCTCGACGCACGACATCACCTCCACACCCACATCACCATGAGGTACTGCACATAGACACACATGCACCACCACCATGTGTGCAGCATTGTCTGTCCTCCCTCCCTCCCTCCCTCCAGTGTTGCTTCCCACCCACCGATCATTTCGAACTTCAGTGACGAGACCTCCGGCAGCTAGTCCTCATCCCACCTTACACCGGCCCCACCCAATCCGCCCAATACTCCACCGATGTCCACACGTAGCGTCTTGCCACCCCCGGCCCGTCGGAGCAGCCCCAGAAGGTCGGCGGCCATCACCGCACCCGATGAATTTGATGGGCCGACCGTCACGCTCGCGATCTTGGGCATTTTCTGTGCCAGCACACCACCGGGCTCACACAGCCGACCGTCCACAATCGCAAGCTTTGAGGCTGCGGGGAATGCGTCAGCTGGGAGAGCAGCGAGAGCGGAGAGGGTGGGCAGCGGGCGGCTGGCGAGGGCCCCCAGATTGTCGACCGAGACGTCCACCTTTTTGGCCGAGGGGAAGCGCAGAGTGTGGAAGAGGTCTGTCTCGGCCTGAGGGGGGCTGCGAAGCTCCTCCTGACGAGATGCGTCGACACGCCACTCGACGGTCGCGGCCTGGCCGGCGATCATGTTGAATGTGAAGGTGAAGAGACGGTAGGAGGTGGCAGGCACTATGGCGGGGAGGTGGAAACCGACGCGCAGCCCTCTATCTCGCAGGTATGGCGTGAGGATGGAGATGTCTGTGTGGGTGCCGAGTGCTTCCTGCAGGCGATCGACTGCCGACAGGAAGGCGAAGAGCTCACGGGAATCGACAGCGTTCTTCTCGATATTGATCAAGATCAAGATAGAGCGGATCGATCGGCACTTGTGGCGCACCAGCAGACCCTAAGGGAAGGAAAACACGCCATAAAGATTCGCCGATGATATTTGCGTGTCGGGCATCATTTCCCGTCCGTTGTGATCCCTTCTTACCCGAAGTTTGTCTACAGCAGCCTCCGACTTGCTGAGGCCGATCTCGAGCTCGAGCGTGGCGATGGTCTCGAGTGCGGCGAGCCCCCCTGGCTGCCCGTCAGCCGGCGGCGACACCCTCGACAGCACCTCCACCATCACACCCATTTTCGTCTCCATGTCGATGTGCTTGAGGCGCTTGGATGTGCCGATGAAGGACAGAGAAGCACGGTCCCAGGGGCGAGGATTGGGAGGGAGCTGGGTGGTGGAGCCCTGCGCCCGCTCGAGTGCCGGTGTGCGCCACCTTCTGTCGCTGATGATGTTGGCCTGACCTGGGCGGAGGCCGGTGATGGTGGTCAGCGCAGGGAGGGTGATGGGGGTGGGCGGTGGCAGGGAACGGCGGCGGGGGGTGCGACTAGAGGAGCTAGAAGCGGGTGGAGGCCAAGAATATTCATTCAACAAACGTATCGTCAGCCTCGAATATTCATTCGAGACAGAAGTTGCCCTGTCGCACTCTGACAAGGGGACCGCCTCGAAGACGATGGTGTGGAGCGACCCCTTGTCGGCCTTGCCGTGGAAGGACGCTTGCTGATTGGTTGTGGCTGTGGGAGCGCCCCTGCTGCTGGCCTCTCGCTGCCGCTTCTCCTTCTTCATTGCCTCCCGGCCCTCCACGTGGCCCTCGACAATGGACACCCACACGTGGGAGCACCACAGGGGATTGTAAGTGACCTCGCAGCACCACGACGGAGCGTCAACGGGGTAGCGCACCACCAGCGTCTTGAGGTTGACCAGTCCGCGCCCCATGTTGCGGGCCACATCGGTAGGCATCCGCTCCCACATGGCCCTCGTGGCCGACTTGGCGTAGTCGACGGCGAAGCGGTCGCAGCAGCCGTACGAGAGTGAGAAGGCGCCTTTGCTGAGAAGGCGATGGCCGAGGTCACGGGGGCTGAAGAAGCTGCTGATGTTGGCATGATCCAAAGGGGTCAACAGAAGTTGCGCCTGGTGATCGATCGACATACAGACAGACAGGTACGGAGTGCGGCGCGACGCCGATGTTTTCCTCTGTGTGTTAGTTGTTGTGTACCGGTCCGTCGTTGCGAGTTGACATGCTGCCCCTCTTGTGCAGATGGAACAAGTTGCCCTCCAGCTGTGGGTCGTGCTGCAAACCACATACAGAACAGAGCCTTTTGCGACATGGCCGGTGCTGCCGCTGTGTGTCGTTGTGCGTGCCAAGGTGCCTGCCTGGTATCTGATGTTCTGGAGGCTCCCGAAGCCCATCCACAGGGCGTCCTTCGCTGCCTGCAGGGCTCTTCTCACCGACGCGTGGTCCTGCAGCGTCATGGGACTCTGCATCAACACACATATAACTCACACATCCACCGCAGCCTGACTTGTAGACGACCACCGTGGCTGTGGGACGCCGACTGACCTGGTTGGGCAGCTGAGAGGCGTCCATACAAGCTATCGCGTGGTTCTGAAGGCACGGAGCACACAAAAGGAGGGAATGAGCAACACCCATGCACGGTGTCGGTGGTGTGTCTGGTTGGTGCTGCCTCCCATCCATCGCCCCACCTGCACAAGCAGCTGGTGCAGAACCTCGATATCCTCTATGCGAACCTGTTTGACCGGGGGAGAAAGAATTGGACACTGCATGCTGCCACCAAGGGGCTGCTATTGGGTTGGGCGTGCTTCACCTGTCCTCCGGAGCTGCGCTGGCCAGATGGTGAGGCATCATCATGCAGCGACGGGGACACCACTCGAGGCGGCAGGGATGACGAGCGGCCTCTGCTGTGGCTGGCGCCCTGGTCGAGAGAACGGGGTGCGATGGGCATGTTGCGGTGAGTGGCACCCGTCGTGTCCTCCGGCCCCTTCCCGATCTCGCGAGGCGGCACAGAGGCCTTCTTGGTGGCGAGGAAGGGGCATGACATCGTCCGCTCGCACAGCGGCTCAGCCGTCAGGACGCCCACACACCGCGGGCCGACACCCTGACAGGCACACACAAACACACACACACAGACCGACACACAGACGGACACAGGGGAGTGAGAGAAATGAGTCCCGAGTGCGATGTCTGTCGGTGTATGCATGTACTGACCTCCTGCAGCTATTGCTGGCCTTTGCTCTCTCCTTGCTCAAAGTCCTCTGACACACCACCTGCACACACATACACACACACACACACACACACACAGAGAGAGAGAGAGAGGGGGGGCTCTTGGCGCATGTGGCGGGTCGCTGTTTCATCCTTGTGTCGCTGCGTACTACCGGCACGAGCAGCAGCAGTGCTACTGCTAGCACTAACAGCCGCAGGAGCAGGGGAATCATCCTCCTTCACGGCTGCAGGTAGCTGCACTCACACATGGAAGATATTGCCCGCCGTCAATGACGGTCTCTCTCCCCTTTCCTCTTCAAGTACCGAGTGAGATACACCCACCGCCTCGCCAACACGAACCTAAAGGCACACCACGCGAGCTCACAAAAATGCACTCACATCCCGCATCCATCGACATGCGCACCTGTGAGCTCTCGATCATCTGTTTCATGTGGGCAATGTCCGACTCAATGCGCATCAACCGCTCAGCCAGTCGCCCAGACACATCCTCTCGTGTCGCCGACAGATCGACGCACTGACACGAAAGACAGCCAACAGACGAGGCAGGGACCTGTGGAAGCGACCAGGGCTGCATACCTGAGTGTGTAGTGTGCTGGTGATGTCTCGCATGAGCTCAAGCTGCTCGCGCATGCGATGGAGAACGTCACTGTAACTGGCAGCCTGCATCACACAGAAGCCTCACACACGTCGATGCAACGAAATGCCGCTGGTGAAGGCTGACGCTGACCTGCTGGTTCGCAGCATCAGTGACACTGCCGGGCAGATGAGTCGCTGATGATCCACCGCCACCATTGCCACCAGCGTCACACTCACCTGCCACACGGAGAACAATCACTGTTGATGACGCCTCCCGCTCGCTGCCTTGTGTTTGTGTGTGTCACGTCACCTGCTTCCATCGTGGTGTTTGTTTGTTCTATCTTCCGACGATGAGCGCTTCACGCACAACACCGGTCAGTCACTGTGGACATCCTTCGGCGTCAAAGGCAGTCATCCCTTCATCGACGCCAGTGTTTGGGACTCGACGTGCTCTGTACGGCCACAAACAAACGGAGGGAGCTTCTCTGCATCCCATGCCGTCGCTTCATCCCACCTGCGATGAGTTCTGCCTCCCCGGCGATGACTCCAGCAGCACACGTCACACCGAAATGCAGCTGCCCTCGCGAAATGACAACCAAACGTCACCGCAATGCACAGGGGAGCTATACGAGACGGATCAGCCCTACGCCGCGGCACGTCGCGAGAAAGGGAAGGAACGGACGGGCTGCGAGCTTGAAAATGCCACACGATCGGGAGCTTTCGCGTTCGTTTGGCGACGTTGGCTGGGCGAGCGCCCCTCAGGGCGTCCAGGCGTCCACTTTGGTCGGCCCGGACAGTCGAATATGAAAGACAATGAATCGATGTCCACAGATGTCAGACCAACTCGTTCACTCTTGTGCGTACATTGCATTCGAAAAGTGTCGCTGTGTCGGTCTGCCCACTGCATGCCCACTTGTCTGTCTGTCTGTCTGTCTGTCTGTCTGTCTGTCTGTCTACACCCATGGCCGGCCACTCATGCGGTGTTCTGAGTTTTGCGTTTCTTGTGTAGCGGCTCGTCCCTGTGTGGGCGGTGCGTGCTGCACAGCTCCAGAAGACGCGCCTGCACACACCAACACCAGGACACAAGCACAGAGGCTCACTCGCGACAGACACCCCCCCCAGTTATTCTTTCCCGCCGTCCACCCTCACTAATGCAGAGAATCGTCCGGAGGCTTTGTGTGCGATGAAGTACATCTGAGGGGAGTGGGGCACCTTCTCATTCTGGCCCTTCTCGCGGCCCCTCTGCTGCGTTTGTCTGGGAGGGTTGCGGCCGGCGATCTTCTCGCGAATGAAGCTGCACACACGTTACCGTGTTACGATGTGCGTGTGGGACCGTCTGTGCGGTGAGGCCGGGCGGCTTACGTCTTGCACACGACGACGTCTACGAGGGTCTGCAGATCCTTCACGGCGGCTTCCATCAGGTCAGCGGTCACACTGCTGGGCACTGGCAGCGAAAACTCCTGCACTCAACACATACACACACACATAAGATTCACGCAGTAGTGTGTGTTGGCGATGGTGTGTTTGTCGCCTTACGCTCTGGTGCGTGTAGCCGGCTGTGTCTGTGTGCTGGACGATGACCGTCCATGCGCACCCGCCGTAGTGACAGCAGGTCATCCTGCACACAGGACAAATCAAAACAACGCGCATTGCAGTGGTTCTGTGGCCCTGTGTGACGGACTCACCACTGATGGACAGCCAACTTGAACATCGAGTTGCCCTGATCGATCGATGCCCTCCATCTCCCGCACCAGCCTGCCGTCCCCTTGCTTGACCCGCCACTGCAGCCAACCCGCACACAAGGAGCTGAGTGCTCTCTGCACATGGATGGATCCGGTGTTGTGCGTATACTTACCTGGATTCGGTGCCGCGTCTGTGTGAAGAGGCTCTCCAGCACACACTTGTGGAACTGCTGAATCGTCATCGGCTCACGGCGCATGGCCTGGCCGCACTGCCCGGGCTCCTCCGGGGGACCCTCCCTCAACCACTCTGCACCCACGTGTAGACACACCTCCAGATGGATGTACGTCACAATGCTTAGTCCATTGTACCTGATGAGACTTCTGCGTTGGGATCTGCTTGTGCGGTGGCCTCCCCACCACCACCATCAGCCGCAGCCGCCGCACTATCACCTTCACCATGACCATCTCTCTCCCCTTGGTTCTCTCGCTCGACGCTCTCTGAGGCCACCTGCAGAGTCATATTCCGAAACAAACGGATGTTGCTGGTCTGGGCGTCTGCTGCAAGTGGCGCCTCGGTGGTGTGCGAAGCTGTGATGGCTAAGTCTGACCTGCTGATTGTGCCCGTCAGCGTCACTGCAGGTCTGATCCGCTGCAGATGAACCTCCACCACCACCGATCGCAGACGCCGACTCGCCTGCGGCACACACAAGAAAATCACCGTGATGAGAACAGTGCCTGCTCAGTCGGTCTTTCTTGTTTCACCTGCTTGCATCGTGGCGCTCCCTCTATCCAATTGCTCTTGGCTACCCTTCACCGGATGGTCCTCCTTCGCCCAACACCTCCGTGGTCAAAGGCGGTGACCTGCAGGAAACCCAGACGGCAGGATGTGCCTGCTGACTGTCGTCTGCATCTGACAGTGTCGCTTCATCCCATTGGCGACGTCCGCCCACCTGAGATGAGTCCTTTCTCCCCCGCGATGACCCCGGCACCAGACGGACTGCAAAATGACAACCAAGCGCCACGAGAATGGCAGACTCTGATCACACGACGCCCAGGAGACCGGAGAATGCGCTAAAAAAGGTCGCAGGACCGGAAAATCTGCGAGCTTGCAAGCTCAAAATCCGAATCCTTTTGTGCCTTTTTTGGCTTTGTTCGGCGCCGTTGAGCCATTGGCATGTGTGTGGCGGTACAGACAAGGCATTGAGCCGATAAAATCGGAAAACGAATTTGCCACTTCGGAGAAAATCAGCGATTCGATCCTCACTCGATCGCATTGCAAGGAGGCTCTCGGGGCCCGTTTTGCTGCGCGGGAGGCTCAGAGGCCTCCCGGACCTTCGCCCTGTCGGCCCAGTCATCGCAAAGCCAAGCTCGCAAGGAGCGCGTCAAGTCTTGAAGCTCAAGACACAAACCGATCCCTTTGTGAGCATGAGCTTTCCACCACAAACACACACACTCATGCTCACACACAGGCCTTCCTCATCCGCACACACACTCAGGTTTCATCCACGGTGGCTTCTCATGACGAGTCGACGGTGATTGGCATGAATCCATTCATTCAGGTGAACACGCCATCCAGTCAAAGAGTCCGATAGCAACGAGTGGGACATTCATCGATTGATGCCATACTTGCAAACAGGCACGCAACGCTTTCAAATGTAGTCAGCCTTGCACCGCCACTAATATGCGACTCTGCTCGGTCAACATACCGGACCACCTATCAAGCCGTCACCCCTCACCCCAGCACCCTCCCCCTGTCGACGACGTCACTCTCGAGACCGAATCCTCGCAGCACACGGCGGGCGGCACCAACCGATACGGAGTAGCGGTCGGAGAGTGATGCAGGCCGACCAGCAGCAGTTGATATCTCGGTCGTGTACAGCTGGATGGAGCCCAACCATACGTACATGTGGGCAGCCACGGTCTCACCAGGTCTGAAGCCGCTGACTATCACATGACGATAGTCAATCGCAGCAGCATCATTTAGATCGAACCCGTCATTGCGAGAGTCGACAGCGATGCCCGAATCCTCTGTGACGGCGTCGGTCAGCAGACGGCCATAACGAGGGTCGCCGCGGCCGATGTCGGCCTACAGCACCATCTTATGACCCACCCCCTCTTGATGGCGCCACAAGCGGAGCACCCCGTACAACAGGAATGCCGAGAATGAGCGATAGAGGGGGCCGAATCGGACGACGGGGTCGGTCCGCTTGTAGCCCTCAGCATAGGGATGGCCGGCCGGCAGCTCACCCAACGGCACCACACGAAACGACTGACTGCCGATCCGATAGGCCCCGTTATCGTCGGCTTGCTGCAGCGCCAGGCTGGTCCCTACGTCTGTGAGCAGGTGGCCGAACAGCCGATAGATCGCCATCGCCAATGGCAGCTGGTGGAATGCCGTCCTGCTGGGGAGGCGGGCTGTCAGCCACTGAGCCGACAGCACCAGGGGCAGCCCATTGGCAGGCGTCAGCCGATAGATGGCGACCAGCCGGATGAGCGGTCCCATCCCACGCCACTCGTTGCTGTCCTGCTCCAGCACATAGGCCGCCCGCAGCGCGTACGTGAATGGGAGAGGGGCGGTGCGGTCGATGTCGATGAGGCCGGTGAGTGAGTGGCGGGCGAGGGAGGCGTCGATGCGCTCCACCAGCAGAGCAGCGGTCACCACAGCAGCTTTTGCCCGGCAGGTCGCTCGGACACAGACCGTCTCATGGACGAGAAGGGACGTCAGAATGCGCCTGCGCCACAGGTCGTCGGGCACCGAATCAGACATCGTCACGACTCACTCAGTCCGCACATGGCAATCACCTTCCTGCAACAGCACATAGGACGCACAGACTGCACCAAACACACCACCACAACTTCGCTGCAACGAAATGCCACTGGTGAAGGCTGACGCTGACCTGCTGGTTCGCAGCATCAGAGGCACTGCCGGGCAGACGAGTCGCTGATGATCCACCGCCAGCATTGCCACCACACGCACCTGCCACACGGATAAGACAGTCATTGGGATGAAAGACGCCCGCACGCCTTCCTCCTTCCCTCCGTTTGTGTGCATTTCACCTGCTGCTTCCATCGCGGTGCCACTTGCGGTGCCACGGCCGTCCTAACCTATCCTCCGCCGCTGAAAGAAGCATGAACAGCGGATCATCCTCCAGCGATTTTGACGCCCTCCTTGTCCTTCCCCCCTCGGCTCCTGCTAAGGACTCCCCTTCTCCATTTCTTTTGCGAGCTTTTGCATGCAACTGCTTTCAGCATCTCCTCAGCATTGGCGTAATCATGGAGTCCGTGGGTAGCGTCGTTGTGCAGTCAAATGACGGCCGTCTGCACGAGATGAGCGAGGGCGGCGCCAAGATGTGCGGCTTCATTCAATCGGCGCCACAGACAGCCGCTAGTACGACAGAGAGGCAATGGGATCAGGGCACACGGGCCGATGATCTGTAACAATGCATGTCATTTCTTCTGCTTCAGGCGGGAGCAGTGATCCCATCCCGCTGCCGGCCGTCGACAGCGCCCAGCTCGAGCAGATCATCGAATATGCGGAGCATCACAAGGGCCAGGCTGCCGACATCAGCAAGCCAATCCAAACAGATGAACTGACGGAGGTGAGAGTTGACAGTCAGTCAGTGAGGGAGGGAGAGGGCCGACGTGCATCGGCAGGATGTCGTGCGTGTGTGAGTGCAGGTTGTTGCTGATGACTGGGACGCCAAGTTCATCGAACGCCTAACCGTGGACGGTCTCTGTTCGCTGACTCTGGTACGATATGACAAACCCCCCACACATACCGCCGGTGCCCATTGGTGCTGTGGGTGTGGTGGGATGCAGGCGGCTGAGTTTGTCGACTGTCGCCCTCTCATTCAGCTGGCCTGCGCTCGCATCGCATGCATCATCGCGGTACGAATTGTGATAAGGGCATCAAGACACTCACTGCCATACCAAGCCGACACGGGCGTCTGCGTGGATGTCAGTACGTTGGATTCGACGACATTGCTGCACTCGCTGCCCTGGAGGCCGGCACGTCCACAGGCAAATACGCCCACATCCCGCGAGACGCCATCCCCTTCGACTGGCAGCGTATGGCGACACACAAACACGAGAAATGGACCAGCGCATGCCCTTGTGTCCATCCCTGCCGATTATTTCAGCTAGAGGATACCAACTGCCCATCTTCGACCGGGGCTGTAGCGCTCGAGAGGCCGACCGTCGAGGCATTCCTGGTCAGGATCTCACCAAGCCAGGCAGTATGGAGTTACACGTGTGTCGGTTATTGATGCTCGCTCATCAGGCACGGCTGACGATATCAAGAAGATTGTGAAGTTGCTCTTTGGGAAGGTCAGCCAAGCGGGCAGAAGAAAGAAAGAAAGAAAGAAAGAAAGAACACACACACACACACAGCACACAAGGAACCAACATGGATGTTTCTTCTTGTTCCGGAGGCCGGGGATGGTTGGAGAGGTTGTCTCGTTCCTGCCGCCCTACTTCATTCGTCTGCTCCCCCCATCCGTCCAGCCGACAGTCTTCCCCTACTACGACCAGCACAGCACACTGAGCGTCGATGGACTCAACCACCAGGAGGTCTACTTCTGGCTGTCGATGAGCCGTGAGGATGCCAGGGCATGGGGCGGCAGGCTCGCCAACTTGACCCACATCACCGCTGGATACGACAACAAGCACGTCTTCCATGGACGCGATGATGACCATCCGCTGGACGACTGGCAGGGGGGGCTGGGGTGGTCTGGCCTGGTCGCCGACATTGCGGAGGGGCACGCCACAAGGGGCAACGGCACACTCACCACCATCCACCTCAAGACCAGCTGCCCTGTGGAGCCCTCCTTCAAGATATTCCAATTCGGCCGCGGCACCCGCCTGCCCCATCTCACGACCATCACAGCAGCGCCGCCCTACTTCTTCCATCTGGCCAGGAAATGGCAGGCGCCGGCGCTTCAAGAGGTGCGGTGCGTGACAGGCATTCCAGTGCGGGAACTGGTGGATGACATGGCCGATAGGAAGCATGTCGTCGCGACATTGGATTTGGGCGAGCTGATCAGTGGATCCCACTGCCTCAAGTGTCTGGAGTGCGTTACTTACATGTTCGTCGTCCCCACATTTGGGCCACCACTGCTGTGGCCCTCCGACTGGCGTGATGTCTTCAAGTACTGCCAGCCGGGTTCTCTGGCTCGCTTGGAGAGACTCGGACCGCTCAGGATCGGACGCGGCTATCGCCGGAGCCATCTGAAGGAACTGCAGGTGCGCAAAAAAGAGAATCACAAATGGCATGCATGTGGTGTCGATGAATGCCTTTTGTCGTGTGCAGGAGACGCTGATGTCACTTGGCTGCCGGCAGCAGTTGGAGTCTCTCACGGTGCTCTTCGACCGGCCAGCTGCGGACTCACGCCATGCCTTCCGCTTCGTCGACTTCCTGCAAGACCTGCACGCCTTCAAGGCAGCTGTAGGCAAACCCAGCATGGAGATCGTGTTCCACTACCATCCCACCAACTCGTCCCTCGAGGACTTCCCATGCAATTGCTTCGACCTTGCCTCCCTCCATCAGCTGCCGGACACGCCCCCGGCAGACATGGCAGGATGGGTGCGGGACGTCGTCAACAAAGTGCCCTACCTGACGTGGGTCATCACCCAGGACCACATCGACAACCCCGACACGCCACCCAGCACTGGCATCGCCGCCCTGGCAGCATCGCTCACCTTCGACAAGGCAGAGACGGTCTACATCATAGGTCCGAACCTCGCCGACCAGCCCGACACACCGGCCCCCACATCCACTCTTGCCAAGCTCATCGACATCACCAAGAAGTGCCCCTCCCCATTCGGCCCCCGCGCACCGCCCCGGCTGGACCGCCGCCCTCTGCCTCTCAGAAGGTGCTTCTTTGGGCTGCCCCCCGGGGTAGAGGAAAGACGTCCAACCAGGTGAACACACGAATGAATGGACGGCACCAAGCTCAATGAATCTGTGTCCATTTCCCTGCTGACTCAGCCCCGCTATGGTGCTGGTCGAGTGTCCCGTCGGGGCGGCGGTGGGAGCGGCGCTGGCATTCAAGGCTTCCGATGAGGATCCCGCCAGGCTGCAGGCGACCTGCCGCACCGGCCACAACAGCGCCCTCGGCATGCTCAAGGCGATCGGGCCCGACAAGACGGTGACGACCGTCCATGTGCAGCCATCGACGACAGAGCAGACGGAGTCATCCTTTCTCATGTGGGGGCAGGAACGTGCAAGCTTGCCCATCATCGAGGATTTGCTCATCACACTCGGTGAGAGAGGGCGACATGGGACGCTGAAGGAAGAGGCTGAGACCTCTCTCTCTCTCTCTCTCTCTTTCTCCGTGTGTGTGTGTGTGTGTGTGTGTGGCAGAAGGAAAGGATGACGACGACATTGGTGAGTGACAGCGTAGTGACAGCGGAGATGTGCAGCAAGAATGAATGTTGTGTGTCTGCAGACCCGCGTGGTGTTCGTCCTGATGTGTCTGTGACGGCTGGGCGGCTCTACGAGTGTGTGGTGTCTCTGCTGGAGCTGCGCGGTATCCACAACCTCACGTTGGAGTTCCTGAAGGACTCCGGAGCTTTCTTAGGAGAACGTCTGTTTGAGCTGCTGGAGAGCAGTGATGCCATCGCGGGCAAGATGGGCGGGCGGTTCGACGTTGGCCACATCGACCTCACGACGCGCGATTACAATGACTACAACATGAAGCACATGCAGTTGAAGTTCACGCGTGTGTGACCCGCACCGGGTGGATGGTCGAAGCTTCTTGGCGAGTGATGGATGGATGGATGAATAGATGGATGGATTGTGAAGTGACACTGACTCATTTTTGGTCGGACCATCGATCGATTCTGGCTGATCGATGTTGCATACGTACATGCATTTAAGACTCTACTCTCTACACATCAAATCGATGGATGGATGGATGGGGCAGATGGAACACACAAATGCGGATCATTCATGCCATTCGACTGTCAAAAGTCATGCAGTGTCTAGCCCGGCCGCTGAGCCGCGCTCGACAAGCATCAATGAAATGCCTAGCTTACTCACCCACTCGTGTACGCTCATTCATCGGCAGTCAGCTGAGCTTGGTGTTCACGCCCCGCCCTGTTGTCTTTGCTGCAATGGGATATGCGGTGCTCGGCCTTCGATGAGTGCCACTGCCGTCCGCACCGTCAGCAGCTCCGTCAGCCGACGCTCCACCCTCGCCCGCAACTCTATACCGACCTGTTCGCATCGAGACTGGCAACAACAAGAGGACGAGACACTTGTGGCACGCACACTCAATGATATAATTCTCGTTCCCTCCCCACCTGTGCGTGTGCGAGGACTTGGAGGGAAAAAGCGAAGGCACCGGCTGCCTCAGTGGCATTCCTCTGGGCACTGTCGAGCTCTCTTGTCTTGGCTGCCAGCGCATCTTGTGTGCCAAACGCTGCCTTCTCCCATTTGGTTTTGGCGGCTGCCACTTGTGCCTTGAGAGTATCGAGGTGCATGACAGTGGCGCACCGGCCATTGGCCAGCATGCTCTTTGTGTGAAGGGACACGAGCGCTGACGTCTGAAACACTCGGCACTCATTTGTTGCATGCACCCATGTATCCGTGGCACCTTGTTATCGAGCGTGTCGGCGAGAACAAGCAGCTGCGCGGCCTCTGCGTCACGAGGTTTTGCGGCTGCGAGGGCCTTCGCCTCATTCACCATGCGGTCAACATTTGTCTGAAATGGCACCCGGGGATCGATCGGCAACAAATGGGGGCTTTTCTTTGACATCGGGGTTCCCCACCTTTGCTGTTTGTGTGACAGTGATGACGGTAGAGCAGTCACCGCTGAGAGCGTCCATTTCCTCATTGATCTTCTCAGATATACCGCTGAACACACCCTGGAGCAACAAAATCCAGGAAACTTCATCCGATGGATTGTGTCTCTCGCGTGCCCGGACCTGTAGGTCGATGAGGTGGCTTTGGGACTTGTTCAAACCTTGAATCTCTGCCCGCACCTCAACTACAGTCTCGTTGGCCGCCAGATACCTATTAAACAATCCACAGTGGTCACGTCACCTATGGCGGCATTCCTTCTTTTTCTGAATGTTACTTGACTTTTGCCTCTTGGTATGCCGTCATGGCCGCCAGGTTTGTCCGCCATGCACTTGTTCTGCATACAAGCAATGCACTGCACTGCACACATCGCCCAGCCATGCCCCTGCAGGTTTTTGCTGACCGTTTGGTTGTCGCTGGTGCCGTCAAGCGTCTCCGCTGCCGCTGCAGATTCAGTCAAGTTAGCGCCCGTCCGGCTGGTGAGCTGGCTCTCCTGTGTCCTCGATGTGTCGCTCTGGTGATGTGCGGTCATGATGGTTGAGTTGGCTGCCGAGGCATTGGTTGCCGCGGTGCTATTGGCGTGATGATGGAGCTTGTCGGTCAGGGTCTTCTCCAGACCCTTCAACATGCTCGCCGCGTCCTTTAAAAGCAACGAACCCAGGGATTTTGGTGTGCTCATGCATCTTGTAATTGTCTGTACTTGCCTTATCAGACATCTTTATGACGGCATCCGCAAGCTTGTCCATATTCGGCGACCCCAATTCCCTTGCGGCGGACTGGAAAAGACTCCTCGCAACGGCCACTCCCAGCGAAGACGACTTTCGGGCTGCTTGGCGGCTGACCGAGACGTTTCCCTGGATCAGGCTGATGCCGCTGAGCATGTCACTGACCGCCGTCGCCTGCAGCTGGGATGATGAGGGTCTCTGCTGCATTGATGCTGGACCGCCATAGGACGGAGAAGTCTCTGCAAATGGGTCGCTGAGGCCATGGAAGACCTTGCCGTCGCTGCTGCTGGTTGGCTGCTCCATGAGCATGGCCCTCCACTTGTTGATGCGCTTCGAAGAGGTTGGTGGCACCGGATCGACGGAAGGCTCCATTTGCTGCGTGGCTTGTGTCTCGGTCGGTGGCGTCAGGGGCAGCCCGACGCTTTGCAGTATGGCCTGCACCTGGCCCTCCTCCTGCTGCTGATCGTCTTGTGGCGGCCGCCAATGGGTGGATCGCGCCTCGCTCTCGGCCGCAAAAGACTCCTTGCTGACTGGATCTCCTTGTGTGTGATGAGAGGGTGGCTGTTGGTCGGCTTGCGCGGGAGGTAGACCACTCGCCTTGGACTGGTCTTCAGGAGTCACCGCACCACCTGTCCAAAGAGGCGTGTGTGAGGAGATTGATGAGATGAGTTCGTGTCGCACCTACCTGTCGCGAACAGTTACACTGTCGCTGTCTGTGATAGCTCCTTTCTACCCTCAGCATCTTGGTTTGTGAAAGGCTGTGAGTGGTGCGGCTGCGCCATTGCCTGTCGCCTTGGCAGCTGTGGGGGAAGGGGTGCGGGATAACTATACGTGTCGGCAGTGAGGGTCGGTTGGAAGGGAGGAGGAGGGCCGTAGAAGGAGAGCGGTGGTTGGGGGAAGGGTACGGCCCCATGTATGCCTGGGGCATCTGCTGATACGACCATGGCGGCGGGTACTGGGGGCCATACTGGCGGTATGGGAACGGGGCTTCGGGATAGGCGTCATAACGCTCTTGCTGCCCCTTGGCCAGCATGGACGGCCGTTTGCTGCCTTGACCATCGCCGCCAGCCGACTCCAGCACCACTTGCGCCGTCGCACCTCTGACATTGCCAGGCGGCCTTGCTGACGCTTCCGTCTCCGCAGCTCTTGTGCTGATCTCGCTCGCAGGAACGGCAACTGTCGCAGCTTGGCCATGCAACTGAAAGCTGGGTGAAGAAAATGTTGGCTGCGGTGTGGTTGCATTCAATTGGGGCAGCTGTGTTTTGTTTGCCGCAGGCTGCGCTGGCCTGTTGGCGGAAAGGGCAACTTCAGTGGCGGCAGCGATAGCAGCTTGCATAGAAGGGGATGGAGTGGTCATCACGGCGGCCTCCTCGCTGCTCTCCAGCAACCCCTGCACCTTCTTCAGGGTCATGTCGACAGCCAACAGGGTGTCCTCCGTTGCCTTCAGCTTCTTGTTGCTCTCCTGCTGCAGCGCCTGGCAGCTGGTGACGAGGGTGACAGTGGCCGACTCCTCTGCCGACGTGCCCTCCTTGAGTGTGTTTCGCTGTGCGCTGGCGACGTGCAATAGGGTCTGTGCCTCAGCCAGATAGTGGCGCTTGCGCTGGAGGTCGGTCCGCATCAAAGCCACCTCATCCTGCAAACAAGAGTAAGATGCCAATCTGTCAGTATTCTCTGTTGTGTCTGTCTGCGTACTCGCTTCGATTCTATGAGGGTCTCGAAGTCAGTCTGTCGTCTTGTTTCCGTAGCATTCAGCTCAGCCAAACCGCTGACGAAGTTGTCCTTCAAATTCTTCAACACGCCGAGGATTTGATCAGACTGCAAACAACACACAAGTACACAGCCCTATGGCTTCCATTAACACATCTCATGACCTCACCTGTGGCGTGTACGCCGAGTTGAAAGTCGGAGACGCGTCAAGATAATCTGGACCTTCAGCGGCCCGGCTCTCTCCTCTTCTTCCCGATGTCACCTCAAGCAAGATCACTCCCCGCCTGGCGCTCTTTTGCCGGTGCCTGAAGTGCCTGACCTGTCTGATGGCGAGCGGGTGGACCGACGTATCGACAGCGACTTGCATGTGGTGCTTGAGGGCGTGAATGTTGGCGTGCAGGGACTTGATGAGAGACGTGAGGGAGGATGCAGGGCCATCCATATGAACGGGACGGTGGTGGGTAGCAGCGCGCTCAAGCTCTGCTGACAGAGCAATCAAGTTGAAGAGTCTGTTGGGACACGCACACATACACACGCATTGCGACACATCATCCAACCTGTGACGGTCTTCGATTGTGCGGCCACCTGAGTATGAGTTTGGGATCAGTGTCGTCGGTCTGTCCGTCAGCGCCATCCCGAGCGAGCGACAGAAAGAGGGCTGCCGCCCTGCTGATGGTCTTGCGCACATCCGCAATGCATCGGCTGCCGGCGACTCCCCTTGCTAATGCACTCCGCGCCTTTTGCAGCTGCCGAATTGTCCTCTTGACATCAGACGCATCGGCCTCCAACAGCTTGTCCTGAAGCAGCAACTCGCCACTCTCCTTCAGCCCATGAAGGATCACATCCAGCGCCTCGGATGACTTGGCTGCCGTGCTGGAAGGAACATTGTCCAAGTTGAGCTTGGAATGGACGACGACAGGAGCTGCTTTGGCTGTTTTCCTGTTGCTCAATTTGTGTGTCTTGGTTGTATGAAAAATAGAAGGCGCATGTGTGTGCGGCATGTAGACGAGTTGCCGCTCCAAGGCGTACAGGTGGGCATCGGCCTTGAGTAGCAGCCGCGATAGTGTCATGCCGAGGTCGATGAGGGTGAGACGGACTTGGGAAAGGAGCTGATCGGCGAAATGATGGAGGGACGGGGGAGGGACGGGAAAGGTGGACAGCTGCTGCAGCTGATGAAGGCGCTGGATGGCAGTGGGAAGAGCCCGAGATACCTGCAGGCCCAGACAACAAGATGAATTACAATGACCTGCCTCACACAACAAACACATTTGGTCGCACCTGTTTGATGCGATCGAGCTGTTCCCGCTGGAAGAATGTGAGGCCAAAGTGCTGCCTTTCCGTTAGGTGATGCGTCCTGCCCATCCCCCGCACATACTGCTCCTCCTGACCCAATTCGAACAGCGGTAGCTGCATGACCAGCTCCTGCAGGAACGCCTCTAGCATTTCACATTGCCCAGTCAGACGACTCACAAAGGGCAGCGAAGGCAGCTCCTGAGGGGCTCTCGGCCGTGAGATCTCGCTGACAATTCTTGACACGGCTGTGAGCAGCTGCGGCAGCTTGGAATGAATGGTCACACTGACTCTCCTGTCCTTGAATCGATGATGTGCTGGGTGCCGCCCCGCCTTGCCTTTGAGAGCCAGCTGAAGAAAGGATACTGGCCGCAGGTGGTGCTGTGGCTCTTTGTCGACCACGGAGGACGAAACGGCTCGCAGCTGGTCCAGCAGGCTAATAGCCGCCTGCACATAGACCTGCAGCTGCTTGGGCGATGTCTCCCGGCCAACCTGCCCCAGGCTGACACCTGCAGAGGCCGACGGTATATCCCCTCCCTCGATAATGGTGCGATTCTCCACATGGCCAATTGCCAAAGTCAGGGCGGCTATGGTACTCGTTGCGCTCTTGAGGTCACCCTCATACTGTTGCCGCTCTGTCCGCCGGACGCTCACAGCGCTGTCGTAGGACGTTTGGGCGTCGGCCAGGGATGCCTCAACGGAGCGAATCTCACTCTTGAGCCGGGAAACCTCTGCCGTCTTGGCGATGATGGTTGCGGCCAGTTCGTCGATGAGTGTGACGTGCTGTGTTCTCTTTGCAGTGAGGAAGTCTCGCTGGCTGGAGCACCATGCCGCTGTCTTCTCGCCAGCGGCCTTCTCATTGTTTATCAGGGCTGACAGCGTCACGCTGAGGTCAGATAGGATGCCATCGCTCTCCCCAAGAATGGCAGTCGTTGAAGGGGACTGGGCGACGGCACGGCTGACCTCAAACACCCACAGAACGCACACAAGAAACCTCATCCCTTCCTGCGCCAAACGTAAACACTGTTCGCTTAGCTCGCAGATCTCAGCTCGCACTGGGATTATTCACTCTTGCGAAAATTGACATCAAGGAAGGTCGTGGAGTAGCTTAGAGAGGCCCACAACCCGAGATCTTCCACCAGCATGCCTGTTCGCGTCGACGGGATTGACCGGCCTCTGTTGTGTGACTCACTCGTTCACAGTCAGCATCTGTCCCACGATGACGTCGCCGCCCGCACTGACCGCATCCAGTTCCACCACCCTGTCGTCCTCGACCACGTGGAGGTGCTCTCATACGGATGCAAGTCACACCTGGTGCAGGGCCTCTCTATCGAGGGCGAGACCCTACCAGAGCCGCCGCAATGCAACCTCTCGGGCTTCTTTGTGCGCGACGATGGCGTGAGGGCGTATGTGCCGCTGCAGCTGGTCATGGAGCCGCCGCCCAAGGCAGCGCTGCTGGTGGCTGAGGAGGCCAATGCGGTGACCAACGAGATCGTGTTGAGGGGCGAGTACTCGTGCCTGAGTGTGCTGGTCTTCGGCAGCCCTCTCATGCCCGGCAGCGCTGAACTCGAAAAGGGGCGGAAGAGGTGAGGCACACACGACCAGTAGCATGGCATGCCGCTTCGGCACTTGTTTGTGTTTTGTTTTTCTTGTGTGTGTCAGGTCTGTTCCTGCCGAGCTGCTTCCTGAGGTGGATCACGAGTTGCTGCGTCGCCTCAAGATCCGCCGGCTCACATCCATCACACCCGATCTGCCCCTCTCCCCATTGCTGCCCAAACCAGCAGCCGTCACTCTAGCGGCGCGGCACGTCCGCCAGAGAGTTATCCAGGCCGAGCAGGCCATGGTGCCCTTCAGCACGCCACACCAGGTGTTGGTGAAGCGTGACCCTAACGGCGATGCGTCACATGGGGCTGATGAGGAGGTTGAGAGGTGCCTTGCTGTTGTGGAGGAGACCTTTGCATCGAGCTCGCCTGTTGCCGCGGTAGACCTGCCCGATCAGCTTCAAACCCTCACTCAAGAGCTGGAGAGGGCAATTGCTGCCCAGCACGACACTATAGGCGCCGTGTGGCCGCACCGAGAGGGGGGCTCATGTTTCCTCTCGAGCAGCCCATCCACCCTGGCTCGTATCGCCTCAATTGCCGCTAGGTCTCTGGTATGGGCTCACGAGAAGGTGGAGGCGGACGGGTCTGGGGGCGTCGGCGAGGCGACCAAGCTCATCTATGGCGCTGCAGCAGTGAATCGGGTGGTGTTGTGTGTCAATCGTCGGTCAATGGCGAGGGAGTGGCTGGCTGGCGGGGGGATGGGGGCACTGGTGGACCTCATGTGCAGAGAGGGAATGGGCACCAGACTCAAGGTGAGAACACAATAAATACACACGCACATACAGGTGCCAATTGGTCGGTGTGTGTGTCACTCAGGTTGCTCTGTTGGGTGTGCTGGTTGAGGCCACCAACCACGCTGATGCCGTTGAGTACCTATTGGGCTCACGACGAGCAGACGAGGCGACGCCCCTCCAGGGCATCGTCCACAGCCTTCTGACCGTCAACAAGGCCGCGGTCACATGGGTGCCCCTCCAGAGTGGCTTCCGTGTGGTGCTGCAGCGTGTGCAGCTCTTCGACAGACTCGCCAGGCTGAGTGCTGTTGCCAAGGAGCTGGCGACGGCGAGGGAACAGCAAGCCCACAAGGTCAGAGGGACGAGAAGAGCACTGGGCGGAGACGAAGTGGGCGGAGACGAAGTGGTCTGCACTTGTGGTGCCTTTTGCAGGATGATGCGCTGCTTGCTCGTTGGGTCGACGCCATCGGGGCTGTGGAGAGCGCCTACGCTGAGATGGAACCACACCTGCACCCCACACACCCGGCGAGAATGGTACACACGCACTGCCGAGGAGACAGGTGAATGTCGCTAACAGCGCATGTGTTGATGCAGGCCGCAGATGCTTCTTTGCCGGACGATGCGAGCCGTCAAGAGTACTTCGATGCCGTCACTTGCTGTCAACCGTCAATGCCAGTATACTTGCAGAGCTACATGCAGGTACCGACAGCACGACACGACACAACTCACTGCTCCCTCCTTCATCTCTCATCTGTCTGGTCCTCTTCAGCGTCACCGCACCATCCTGTCGGTGTCTTATCTGCTGATGGAAGCCTCTGGGAGCGAAACGGCACTGGAGCTGCACACATACGAGACGCCCACTGCGGCCGCGTCGCCCTCGCCCCTCGACACACACCCTCCCCAGCTGTTGGTGTCGCTCGTCGCTGCGTGCTCCAAACTCGTGCACATGCTGCTCAGGTAGTGACACCCATCTACCAATCCGTTCAGGTCCTATCTGACGTCCTCTCGTTCAGGTGTTCTGGTGCGATGGAGGTCCTGTGTAGCGCCCCCGCGCCCCTCCATGTGCTGCTTAACACCGCCACCCAGACCAAGGGCACACCACAGGCCGTCAAGCAGGAGGCCAAGGGAGACCAGGCAACTGGCGACGGGTGTATCCCGTCCATCAATGCTCTCACCGAGGAAAAGGGTGCGGCCGCTAGCGGCTCTCTGAGCGGCAGCAGCGGGTGTTTGCCGCCGCTCTACTACGTGGTGTCTGTGCTGGGCCACCACATGCAAGCGGCCAGGCTAGCGGGGCAGCTCTTGGAGAGCGGCACGGAACCATCCATCGACCTGCTGCAGGTGAGAATTTATTGACGGGGAGAAGGGGAGGGGCTTCTTTCTGTATGATGCGGATTGTGCATGTGCGTGTCGCGCAGCGTATCGATCTGCTGCTGGGTAGCCCTGAGGGTCGCCTGGCCGTCTTGCGTGTCTTCTCCGAGCCGGCGCTTGTCAGGTATACATCACAGTGCAATGCACCACAGCTGCAGATATCACCTGCCTGCGTTTTCCGTTTACTGACCATGCAGGCACGTTGGCGAGTGTGTGTATGCGACCATGTGTCGGTTGGTGCCCGACCACCCGCTGCTGAGCCAGCAGGGCAAGCGAGAGGCCAAGAAGAAACGATTCGCCTCGCACATGGACCAGGCCACCACACCGCCCACCGCCAAACAAGAAGACCTCGCCACACTCAGGTGAGCGACGAGTGCACACACGCACCTGACGACCCACATGCAGGTGAGTATGGATATTTATGTCTTCCGCTGTCTGTCTTTCAGGCATTGGGTCGCGTTGTGTCACTTCCTGTTGTCATCTGACGAATTGACGACCACCACGCGCACCCTCATGCCCACACTCCTGCCTGTCACACGCACTCTCATGGACATCAGCAGCCACGCGGACCAACTGCAGCAAGCCAACAAGAGCGAGGATGAGTGCTGTTTGGCCTTGACGCCGATAGACGAGCTGATGCCGGCTGAGGGCGGCAGCAAGGAGGGGGAGAACCTCACCACCGGCATCTGCATCGGCGGCGACCAGAAATGGACATTGCCGAAGGTGTGATGAAGAAGGCAACATGTGCACTGCCCTGTTCGCACACGTGCGGGAATGCTGTCTTTGCAGCTGGTTGCCAACGACATGCGGCTCAAGGCCTCTGTGAGTGAGGTGGCGCACTACTTGGAGGGGTTCCGGCTGGACAAGAAGGACACCGGCCGGACGTCATCTCAGCCGCCATCGCACACATCGAGTCCGCAGATGGCCACCGCCCCAGGCAGCCCAGCAGACGCAGCCACGGGAACCCATCTGGTCGTGCGGACGCCTTCCGTGCCGGACATCATACAAACAATCAGGTGCGATGGGGGAGAAGACCACAGCACATCCAAGCACTGCCAGATAGACTTAATTCTGTCTTTCTATTGGTCCTCTCATGTTGCAGGTCTCTGGCCGACCCCAGCCAGTGCCGTCCCTTGGCACGGGCCAAGGAGGGTGCTCGCGACGAGGTGGCCGCCAGGATGGGCGGCATGGACTGGGCCACAGCCACCCATCTGCTGGACATCGACTACTCCAAAACTGACCCCACTGACGAGCTGGGGCCGCTCAACGACATCGACAGAGAGCTGCCGTCTGACAGTGAGTCCATAATCGCCCTCAACGTGGCCGTGAGGCAGCTGAGATGGCACACCTTGACGGCTGTGGGAGGCCTGGGCAAGATCGATAGCATTGGGAGTGGTGTGGGGAAGAGTCTAATGGCCCAGGAGAAGGCGAGGGAGCTGCACGGGCTGTTGGGTGCGTTGGATGGAGAGGGGGCGGTGCGTGCCGCCGAGGAGATGGCGAGAGAGCTGGCTGAGAAGGGGCTGGCGGTGTTGGCAGGGCTGGTCGTCAGCTGTGCGGCTGCGATGGGGCCGAATCCGACAGTGAGCTCACCAGCAACAAGGCCATCTGGGTCTGTAATCATGTACTGGCCTCTGCCTGTCGTCGTGTGTGTGCAGACTGCTGGTCTCCAGGACATGGTGATGCACAGCGGTCAAGGGCTGGGTGCGTGGATCACTTCCGCACACAAACACCTCCCCCTGCTCAGGTGAGTAAGGATGAAGCGACATGCCCACAAGCACAACGGGCTGGAACGTTCATGCATTAATTGGTCCTCTATCTCTGTTGTGGCCCAGGAGTGCTTTGCAAGTGGTCAGTGGCAGTCTGGCGCTCATCAGGAAGACGTCCAACGTACAGGTGGGTTGACTAAACGGACCCAGACGTCTGCACAGATGTTCCTTCCACACGTCTCCTCTTGTCACCCTTCTGCAGGCACTGCGTTGCACCCCGTTGCTCCAGGCCATGTTGGTCGTCGCTCAGCGGCTCACGTGCATGCCACCTCTGCTTACCATCCCCCATTCCAAGCCACCATCCCCTGCTGATCCCGACCCATTCGACATGGCCGCTCTCGCCACCAACATTCGCACATGCATCGAACTCACAGCCGACATTGCTGCCAGGCTCTACTCGTTCCCCCTCTCCCGCAGCATGATGATCCGCACTCTGGTGCGGCACGGGACGCTGCTGCCTGCTTCGAGTGCGGCGGTGCTGCTGCTGGTGGGCGCGTGCAAGGGGTGGGGGAGCTGGCTGCCGGCAGCGCCGCATGTTTTCGGGTTGGGTGAGGGCGAAAGGCCGCCAATGGTCAAAGGCGGCATGGAAGTGGCCCAGGAATGGATGGAAAGGTAAGGCCGAGAACAGGGTCCCCAAGAACAGCTCTCTTTGTCACGTGGCTGGTTTGCCCTCCTTCAGGTCTGAGGGTGATGGCAGGATCGACATTCCCTCGTCCATCACTCTCTCCTGTGACATCCTGCCAACCCCCCGGCCGTCGAGGTCCCCATCTCTTATCGACGACGCCTTAAACGACCAGGACGACCAGCCGCCTCTTCCCCTGCTGCACCTGACATGCCAAATCACTCTCACAGGCAACGACACAGCACAGCGAGGAGGCTCGCGACTCGGCTGTCTGTCAGTGGGCAAGGAATGGCGTGTGGGCATCGCCCGACGAGACGACGGGTGGATTGGTCTGGAGGAGGAGACATGGAGGGACGTGTGTGGGGCGATCGAGGGGCAGGACGGTGCAAATGAGATGGATGTCGTTGGTGATCCGGGTGACCCGTTGTGGGAGGTGGCCAAGAGGCACATGGACGGCATGCGCGGCGACATGGAGGCGCAGTGGAAGAAGTACAAGACGCTTCAGCGGGTAAAGGGATGGAATGGCGAGTGCTGCCTTGTTGCTCTGACCGTGTCGTCTGTCCTCCCTGTCTCAGGCACTGCGGTTGAATGAGTCGGTGCACATGGAGGATCTCGGCGCTCTGATGAGCTTCATTGCCCACAGCGCGTCCACGTCGTCGCCACTTCTGCACTCTGTCGCTGCCCTCGCCACCGTACCGCTCCTCGACACCGGGCTGCCCATCCTGGCCCTGGCCGTCGAGATGAGCAACCGGGAGCTGCTGAGTGGATCAAGTGCGCTCTACACGACTCCACAGACGGCCAACCATTCGGGGCAGGGGACTCCAAGAGTATCGCCACAGGTCAGGAGACAGTCCATACGCACATGCGTTCAGACGCTTGTGTACATCTGTTGCTTGTGTCTGTTTCAGGCGTCATCTGTGTCCGTGTCGTCAGCGGCGCCGGCCGAGTCGCAGCGGCGCGCATGTCGCCTACTCAGCTTCTTCGAGACCATAGCCCTCCTCCCCACCTCAGCCACGCCCCTCTCACCAAGCCAGATGATCGCCGCTTTGGAGCCGCTGATCCGCCACCTCAACATCCTCCTGTCGCACAAGGGCTATCCACCCGCCCACGCTGACGCCATCTACCGCTTCACCATCCGGGCGTTCAAGGCGGTCGGCTGGCGCTGCATCAACGAGGGCAGCCGAGAGGGCAGCGACAGGTCGCCGTTCGAGATAGCGGCGTCCTACCGGCTGATGTGCAAGGCCCTCAGCTCGGTGCTAAACCGCACGAGTGACGACAAGGGGTCTACGCCCATGAGCCGGGAGAGCGAGCCGCTGCCGTCCATATCGACGGTGCTCGAGGGGCTCCGCTGTCTCTTGCTCTTCACATCTCGGCGGTCGTGTCTGCTGCCGTTCCTGTTTGACATGGCGCTGGGCGAGGGGCGCCAGGGGGAAGGAGTGGGGAAGGTGCGCGTCAACCTCAGCAGCGCCCTCAAGTTACACGGAGTGATGCAGCGGGTGGGCATGGAAATCGCCGCTCTGCTGGACAAACTGAGGGGGAATGACACGTCAACCAAACAGAAGGTGAGCAGGAGACGCACGACAGATGGAGCAAGAATGACATCAAACTGATTTTGGTTCTCAGGCCGACCGAATGTCTCGCGAGCGTTTGTCTCTTGAGGCGGCTCTTGACCAGTGGCTCGAGGCGACACAACTGCTGCTCATCCTGTCCAATCGTGTGGTCGACTGCACACCGTCCCCCCTGCCCCTGCTCAAGGCCGCTCTCTCCGACTCGGGCGTGGACTCGCCATGGGACACGGCAAAAACCACAAGTACACAACAACAGCAGCCGTCACAGGTAAGGATACACAGCACCAAACACACAGGACACAGTGCGGTGAACGGGTGATTGATATGTCCCTCGTTTCAACACAGGCTGCTGCGCTGGACGAGGGTGACGACATCTACGGGGGCATCTTCGAGGCATCATCGGTCTCGCCCAAGGCCACGTCCCCTTCCCAGGCCCACCACATGCTGCCGTCGTCCGCCAAGCCGCCCCTGGAGGTGCTGGATGAGGCTGTGCGGTCTGTCGAGGCCTTTTATCAGGAGGAGGGAAGCGACGCGAATGTGTCGTCGCCCCTGACGCTTTGCCACGTCAGGGCAGTGGACGTCAGGGGCAGCCTACAGCAACTCAGGGACAAGGCCATGAACAATGCCAGCGACGACAAGGCACCGACGGTGAGCCAAGAAGGAGAAAGACCTGGAGATCAAGGTTGGCTTTACCGATGTGGGTTTCCACATGTCCTCAGAGTCTCCCGTCATCGGTGCTCGACGTTTCTGCGTCCTTCTCTCTCGAGCAGTCCCTGCATGTGGACCTGTTTGCAGCCCACTGCAGTCCGCCCACTGGCCAGGCCTTCCACCCGTACGCACATGGCCTCATCGTCAGCACGAGCTACCGCACTGGGGAGCGGATGACGGGGGGCGCCGGCATGATCGACACTGTAGAGCCTGACGCCACCGACGACTTGTGCGGCAATGGCATGGACTGGGCTGGGGGCGACAAGGACAGTGACGGACAAGGTGCGAGGGAGGCCGTGCAGTGGGTCTTCCAAAGGGCGAAAGAACTGGTGAGAAAAGGCGAGCCAGGATTGTGTGGGTGTATGACATCTGCACGTCCTTTTGCTGGCCCTATTGCAGGAACGGAGCACTGGTTGGAGGTCTGTGGCTCGTCGCGAGAGCATCCCCTATCGACCGAAGGACGCAGTGCCACAGCAGGTGCCTGGAGCGCCCCCCATGCTGCCCTGCAACTTCCTGTTCCAACCGGACGCAATCGGGAAAGCGCCATTCATGGTCAGCCAATCAGCAGCCATTGCCTACCGCAGTGCATCCACTCATTGTGTGTCCTCTTTATGTCATCAGAGGCCTCCCGGCACGACCGACGACAGTGGCCGCAGCCAGCCCCCCCGCCCAGGCTTTCCCCCTTCTCAGCAGCCCCCCGCACCGAGACCATTCCCACCGCCCAGCAGGCAGTACGACGCCACCGACACCTTCCGGATGAGACGTGCACGTAGGGACCTCTCGCGGCCGCCATCCAAGCACGTCGATGACTTCGAGAAGGGCAACAACACAGCCAAGATCCCCACTCCACCGGGCCCCTCGCCCTCTCGCCCCCCGCCAGACGTGCCGATGCCCCAGGCGCCAGTTGCCATTGACAGGCCCTGGAGGCCCCCCGTTGCACCCGCACCGACGCCACCCAGAAGCCAGGAGGTCAAGGTGGATGCGGGAGCAGCAACCGACCGACGGCAACAGGCGCCATCAGCAGCTGCAGCCCCACCGAAGCAGGCGATTCAGCTGCAGCCTGAGAACGGCTTCGACGAACAAGGCGGGGCGATTGTGCAACCTCCAGCCACGACGCCGTCGGCACCGATTACCTTCCGGCCGTCAATGCCTCCACCCGCCATGATGGCTGCAATGGCTGCTGGCATGCAGGCGGGGCCGCCAAGCGGCATGCACGACGAAACGCAGCAACCCACACAAACAGGTCAGCAGATGTCGAAGAGATCGATGGATTCATGGGGCAGGCGATCGATGTCTGCTGTGTGTGTGCCGTGTGTATATCTAGGTACTCCCACCGGAGGCCCTCCTCACGTCAGTGCTCCGCCGGCACAGTCAGCCCCTGCCGGCAATGCTATTGAGGAGATCCTGCGCAAGCTGCCTGGATGGGACGTCTTGGTGGCCGAGGGGGCCAAGCAGAACATCGACGTGTTAGACTTCCTCAGGGTGAGTGTAACCGCAGCCGCAAGTGAGGGCAGTGTCCAAGTGCTCATGTGTGTGTGTGTCAGGATCCGAAGAAGCACCGCGACCCTCGGCTGAAGATGAAGATGGGCAAGGTGCTGGAGACCAACCCGCAGATGAGCCACATACTCAGGATGGCCAACCTGCACTTCTAATTGTGAGGCAGACCTTGCCCTGGCGGCGTGGTCGACTCGGGAGCTGATTGTGGTGTGGGGCTGCGAGATGTGATGAGTTTGTGCATTTGATGATGTTGATTGGGTCTTTTGGTGCATACGCTGACTGACGTTACTCGAAACTGAATCACATGAAGCACTGTCGTGTCGAATTCAGTGGCTCCCTCCTCAATGAATCTATTACACCAGCCCTTGCGGCAGCCAGCCAGACTCGACGACACGTCAAACGCAACACCATCACTCAGGCGAGTCCCCACCAGATCGGCACACCACCAGTCGATGCTATCTGCCCACCCTATCTGCCCGCCTGTCTGGCTCCCCTGCTTGCATCATGACTGGCGTCTCCACTGCCATCACGCTATGGTGTGTTTGTGGCAGCACGCGGCACGTCACCAGAGGCTGCTGGTGCTGGTAGCGCATCGCCGGCCGGCGGGGCAGTGAGCTGCGAATCACCGCCACTTGGCACAGCTGATGGTGAAGGCCCAGGACGATCACCCGACACACCAGCAGACGACGAGAGGCCGGCGGCAGCATGGTCATGCGGGGCAGCGGGTGCCGATGGCTGGCCAGCTATGCCATGGGCAGCGGCGACCTACCGCGCATACACACATCCGCAACCGACAGCATGGACCGCTTGTTGCCGCAGACTCGCCTACCTGTCCGCTATTCGTGCGTCGTTTGCTTGTCCCTGTCCACCTGAAGATGGTCCTGCCTTTGTTTTGCAGCAGCTGCTGGGGGTCGATCAGCGGCCGGGGGCTGCCGGGGCCAAAGAGACGGCGAGGGGGCGGTGGCACGATGTCGGAGGGCCTCCACCTGCGATGGGTCACGACGGTGGGAGGAGGGGCAGAAACTCGGGAAGCGGTGGGCTCGGGTGCGATGGCAGGCCAGGGGGAGGAGGGACTAGGGGCAGCGGAAAGGGACCGGGCTGCGATGACAGGCGTATCGAGTCCCAATGAGATGAAGTTGCTGTCGTCAACATAGCCCACGTCCGCCCATTCGAAGGATGTGTCGCTGCCCTCCCTCTCCTTGATGGTCATCCCGAATGAGGCCGCCTCCTCGCGCCTGGCCTTCTCTATGATCTCATAGAGCGACACACGCCGACCCGAGGCGCCGTCGATAACAAAGAACGGCCGACGGAGCTGCTGGGGAACCGTCCAGAGGTCTCCTGCTGCACCTTGGTTGCCGCCCGGCTGCTGCTGGTGGGCCCCATCCCGTGTGAGTTGGTCGCTGCCTCCATCCCCTTCTGCGGTCGATGGTGCTGCTCGGTCGCCACCCCTGGCTGCCCCTGGCCATCTCCTGCTGGTGATGGCTCGTCGCCGTCCTGCTGCCGCTGTTGGTCTGTTGTCTCGTTGTCGGCTGCGTGTTCCTCTGCGGTCGGTGGTGTTGGCTCGTCGCCCTGCTGCCTTGGCTGGCCACCCCCTCCTGCTAATTGGTTGCCCTGCTGCTGCTGCATTCGGCCCGCAGCCACCGAGTCGACGGCGTGGTTGAGGGCGATGGAGATGCGGCGGAGGGAGGGGCTGGCGATGGGGAGTTGGATGTGGCGAGGGGGCTGTTCGATGAGCATGGGGCCGAGAGTGGGGGCGGACTGCGCGTGGAGCGAGAGGATGGGATGGGTCTTGCTAGCCCTGTGCATGGCGACGACAGACCGGAGCGCCGCCCTGGCCGCACCCTCGACACGATCAAACACCTAGTACAATACGGAAGCGAGGGCAAGACAGAACGAGGGCAACACAGGACACTGATAATAAAGATAGCCATGCTCACCTCGGTCAAGTAGTGCTCGTATGCGGCATCGAATCGCTCACTCATCCGCACGCGGAGATCTGCTTGCCGGTAGTTGTCGATGGTCCTTTTCATCGCCGCCGCGATCACGCCCAGGTGGAAGGCCTCACTCGCGGCAGCTGGAAGATGGGGACATTCCTTCCGCGACCCCATGACGGCAAGAAGGGCGTCAGTCGACATCCCCACCCTGTTGAAGATCAGCTCGCGAGTCGTGTGCACTTCGCCTGCTCGAAGGGCGGCTCGGAGGTAGGCGTGGCAGGAAGAAAACGAGGCGAGGGATAGGCTTCGGAGCATCTCAATCACGTCACCCTCGTCCTCGTAGTTTGCCCACAGGTCAAGCCAGCAAGGGCCCTGTCCTCCCCTGATGAGGGCCGCCATGACGCGCAGCCCCTCCTGCCGCCCGCCACGCCACTCGTTGAGGTAGAAGAACACATGGTTGACAGCGGTCCGCGTCTGCCGATGCCATGGTAGGTTGGGGTCCGCTCCGTCATCAATGAGCTGAGTGACCTCTGCCGCAGTGAGACGCTTGGCAAGCAGCCCCCGCCTCAGGGCCTCTGTGTGGGTGAGTGCACAGGGGAAAGCGGCCAGCCCCAGGCCCTTCAGGATACGCAAAGCTGAGCGAAGGGGCTTGGGCTGGAAGAAACAAACAAACACCAACGTCCGTTGTGATCCATGGGTAGTTATTTTGTGCTGCTGTGCTGTGCTGTGCCGCATCCACCTGTTCATACAAGTCCTGTTCATATACTGCGACGTATTGTCTGTTCAGACGTCGCATTTGCTGTCCAGAAGCAGGTATCAGCTCAAGCTTACACACACTGATTCTGCGTGCGTCCATTGACTCATCACCACATCAGTGGATAAGGCAGCGATAGAAAAGCCGTCAAGAGCCCCTGTGCTTCAGTTCTGTCCCATTTCAGGCGCCTCTGAGCCTCAGCTGTCATCTCATATTGTAGAACTGACATCTCCGCAGCCGATTCTGGTGCCATCGTGTGAGGTTCTCTGCGCCACTGTTTTGTTTCACGGCGAAGGGGCTTTCTTTCCCTGCTGCTGCCCGCTGGACAATTAGTGCAGCGCACGGGTGAGCCACCACCAGCCGTCGGTCTGTCATGCAGACGGCAGCGTCCATTTCAATAGGTGCATTTCTGTCCGGCCACCAGCTTGACCACACGTCAAACAAGTCCCCACCAGATCGGCACACCACAAACGTAATGCTAGCTACCTGCCCGCTCTATCTGCCCGTCTGTCTGGCTCTCCTGCTTGCATTATGACGCCACATGGCTGGCGTCTACGCTCTGCCCCCGGCACGTCATCAGATGATGCTGGTGCCGCTGCAGCTTGTGGTACTCCCGTGTATGCTGGTGATGGGTTCCACCCCCGGATCCACCCCCAAAACGAGGGCCCTTGCGCGCTGGCTGATGACGATGCAGAGGGCTGGGCACCGCCACTCGCTGCAGATGGTGACGGCGTGACTGGTGGTGGAGGGGCGGGGCCAGGACCGTCGTCCGACACACCAGTCGAGGAGGGGCCGGCCGGGGTCTCGTCATGCGAGACAGCGGGCGCCGATGGCTGGCCACGCATCATCTCAACAGACGACGAGCTGGAAGGGGGTTCGTCATGCGGTGCAGATGCGCCATCGGCTGTAGCACCAAGAGTGGGCTGGGATGGGATAATGGCCGTGTCAAGTCCCAGCGACACGAATTGGCCGTTGTCGACATAGCCCACCTCCGTCCACTCAAAAGATGTGTCGCTGCCCGCCCTCTCGTCGATCGTCAGGCGGTGTTTGGCCGCCTCCTCGTGCCTGGCCTTCTCCACCACATCCCACAACGACACACGCCGAGAGGAGACGCTACCAATGGTAAAAAGCCGGCGACTCAGCTGCTCAGACACCGTCCAAAGGGGACGTCCTGCTGTTTGGTCGCTGCCTCCATCCCCATCTGCGGTCGATGGGACTGCTCGGTCGCCACCCCCTGGCTGCCCCTGGCCATCTCCTGCTGGTGATGGCTCGTCGCCGTCAGGCTGCCGCTGTTGGTCTGTTGCTTCGTTGTCGGCTGCGTGCTCCGCTGCGGCCGATCGTGTTGGCTCGTCGCCCTGCTGCCTTGGCTGCCCACCCCCTCTTGCTGATTGGTTGCCCTGCTGCTGCTGCTGCTGAGTGCCCATGGCCACCGACTTGACGGCGTGTGAAAGTGCGATGGTGATCCGGCGACCGAAAAGGGTTAATGTGGGGAACTGGATGTGTCGGGGGGCCTCCTCGATGAGCAGCGGGCCGAGAGTGGGGGCGCTTGAAGAGAAGGGGGAGAGGATGGGATGGATCTGAGTGGCCGTGTAGACAGCGGCGAGGGACCGGAGGGCCGCCTTGGCTGCACGCTCCACACGAACAAACGCCTATGGATAGGCAAAAGATAGCAGCAAGTAAAAACATCCAAGTTACTCTGCTGCTTTTGTATTTGGTTCAGGAGTTGTTGGTATGCTAACAGAGCCTCCCAGGCGAGGGGGTTCCTCCGTGTGCTGCCGTCCATCGTCGCACCCAGCTGAATGGCCTCGGTGAGCGTGGACACCTGCTTGTGCAAAGGGAGGATAGACTGGGTAGACTGGGGTGGGGACGTCATGATACTCAGCGGCAGAGGGACACCATGCTCTAGCACCAGCTCTCGAAGAACCGCAATCGACCCACCCGAGATGGCCGCCCTCACCACGTGATCCGGTCGTCCCAGTGACCCCATCCGACCAGCCACCAGGCGGAACAAGGCCAGATCGCCATACGAAGCGGCGCTTTGCATGATGCAGTCGACCATGGGGAACTTGGCTGCCTCCACTGCATCATACCTCGGATCTCCCTGCGGAACCGACGGATACGCACACACGAGCTTCTCAGCCAGCCGCCGGACTTTCTGCTCTTCAGGGCCCTCGAAGCGTTCCCCATGGGGAATCCAATGCGCTCCTTCCAACAGGCAGTGCACTGGACTGATCAGTTGGAAGCCCCTCTCCTCGGCCCTCTCCTTGATTGACAACAGCTTGTCCACGGCTCTCTCATACAGCTGCTCGGCCGCCCGGTCGAAGGCACGCTGCAGCGACTGAAAGCGAATGTCGTCCGACTCGTCCTCATCCATGGCATCAGCTGGCACGGTGGGTCGGTCGGTTGTGGGTTTGACGGGGAAGCTGCGAGCTCAGCCGAAATCGCAGTGCGTTGGACATGTGAACGGGCAACAACCTGTCAGGATTGCCAGCTTGGCAAGACGAACCACTGCAAGCTTGTGAGCTAGGGTAGATTGCTGTGTAACGGAGAGAGGAGAAGACAAGGAAAGACAAGGAAAGCATTCTGAGGAGACACGATCTTATCAGCCATCACCGAAGTGAGATCTGTGTTGACCACCCTTCATGATGCCATAGATGGACAGAAACAACTTTGACTGACTGGCCAGTCCATCGGTCTTATTAAGGTAAAAGCACTCTTACTCTGGGACTTATCGCCCAGCAGATCCTCTATTCAGCTAACTACAGGAAAGGTCCTCACCGGCCTTTTCGCACATGGGCGCAGCAACTTGGTTCTTGCTTATCTGAGCCGAAGTCTT